AATCAGTTTTTCAAACATTTCCTACTTTTTCCTGCTTACATCCTTTGCCCTTGGCTATTTTCATGATCCTTCAGTACCTACAGGCTCATCTATGTGCCATTTTCTTTTTTTGCATCTAAATCCTACCTCCTCTATAAAATTTCCCCCTTATTACAAGGGAACTCAGTGACCACCCTTTCTAGATAATTGTCGACATCATTAGTGCAGTTCACTAACCCTTACTTCTGATGTTATTTTGGGTGGTGAATATATTTGATTAACACTTTTAAATATTTAGCAAGGGGAGGGGGAAAAGCCAGTGATTTGCCATCTGAGGTAGTGAGTTCCCATTCTTGGAGGTTTCAAGCAGAGGGTAAAACCCATTACTAGGGTTTCTGGAGAGAGAATTGGCCCATATACCCATAAAAATTACTTTTAGCTTTAAATTCGTATAGCTTTCTGATTTGGTCTGCAGAAACATTTACCTGTGGAAGTTTCAAGGGTTGTGTGTAGGGTTAGGGTGGAATGATATAGTTAGGATGGCTTCCGGGAAGAGACAAGACCTTCCTGTTTTCTAGTGCTCATCCCCCTCACCAGCATCTGCCTGGACAAAACTCTCCCCCCCAGTAAAGCTTAAATAATCCGTTTAAAAGAACCTGGCTCTCAAAGCTATGGAAACAACCCAAGTGCCCATCAATTCATCAGTGGATTAATAAAATGTGGTATATGTATACCATGGAATACTATTCAGCTTTAAGAAACAATGGTGATACAGCACCTCTTGTATATTCCTGGATACAGCTGGAACCCATTCTACTAAGTGAAGTATCTCAAGAATGGAAAAACCAGCATCACATGTACTCACCAGCAAATGGGTATTAATGGATCAACACCTAAGTGGACACATAGGAGTAACATTTATCGGGTGTTGGGAGGTGGGAGTGGGGGAGGAGGGGATGGGTATATACAACCACAACGAGTAAGATGTGCAACGTTTGGGGGATGGACATGCTTGACGCTCTTACTCAAGGGGGGAGGGGGGCATGGGCAATATATGTAACCTTAACACTTGTACCCCCATAATACACTAAAAAAAAAAAAAAAGAACCTGGCTCTCGAAATAGTCTTACAGAATCTACCATTCAACAGTATCAGAATCAGAAAATTCTCAGGCTCCATTGCAGACCTACTGAATCAAAACCTGCATTTTAACAAATCTCCAAGTAATTCGTTTGCACATAGAGGTTTGAGAAGCACTGATACAGTGGACCCCAAGCTCTATAAAAAAGCACTTTGTGAATAACTCTAGAAGAAGAAGAAGAAGAAGAAGAAGAAGAAGAAGAAGAAGAAGAAGAAGAAGAAGAAGAAGAAGAAGAAGAAGAAGAAGAAGAAGAAAAAGAAGAAGAAAATGAGAAGAAAAAGAAAACTGGGAGTCATTTTCTTCTCTCTCTCATGCTCCACATCCTATCCATTAGGAAACTGTGGGTTCAACCTTAAATATATATCCTGTAACTAACCAGTTTTCTCCATCTCTTTTGTCACCACCTATTCCAAACCACCATCTCTCATGTGTACTACTACTGTAGTCTCAACCAGTTTTTCCGATTCTGCTTAAATTTTTTTTTCTTAGACTAGTCAAGTGCAGAAGGGGGAAAGTAGTAGCACAAGGAGTTCAATCTGTAACTGACTGTGAAAAATCAAGTGAGATAACTCACTACCTTCAGACCAGCCTTAAATTTTCTTTTATTCAGTCTCTGTAGAGACTGTCAAAAATTGCCAATGCCGACTATATTGCAAGTCCTTACAGTGGGGTATTGGAAAAAGTTTTCAATTATCAATAACTGCACCTCAGATAAATCTCATTGGCTACGATATTGCCACTGCCTAAAGCTCTGCTTAAATTGTTTAAAAAATGAATAATTATAGATCCACAGGTAGTTGCAAAAAATATATCTATGAATAAGGAAGTCGCGTATATCATTCACCCAGTGTCCCTTAATGGTAACATCATACATAACTATATTCCAATTTAAAACCAGGAAATTGGCTGGGTGCAGTGGCTCATTCCTACAATCTTAGCACTCAGGGAGAACCAGGCAGGAGGATCGCTTGAGCTCAGGAATTGGAGACCAGCCTGAACAAGAGTGAGATCCCATCTCTACTAAAAATAGAAAAATTAGCTGGTGGCACATGCTTGTGGTGGCACATGCTTGTAGTCCCAGCTACTTGGGAGTCTGAGGCAGAAGGATTGAGCCCAGGAGGTTGAGGTTGCTGTGAGCTAGGCTGACACCACAGTACTGTAGCCTGGGCGACAGAGCAAGACTCTGTCTCAAAAATAAATAATAAATTAAATTAAATTAAACCAGTAGATTGAAATTGGTATAATTCACAGAATTTATTCAGATTTCACTAGTTTTACATGCACTCATTTGTGTTCATGTATGGATAGTTCTATGCAACTTTGTCATGTGTACATTTCGGTAATTGACATCACAATCAAGATACAAAACTGTTGGATTATCACAAGATTCCCTTATGCTACCCCTTTATGAACATACACATGCCTCTCCCCATCTCCTGGAAACCATTAGTTTATTCTCTATCTCTAATTCTATTCTTTCAAGAATGTTATATAAATGCAATAATACAGGATGTAACTTTTTGCAATTGGCTTTTTCTAGTTAGCACAATTCCCTTAAAATCTATCCAAGTTGTTGCATGTATTAATTGTTTATTCTTTTTTTTATGTTGAATAGTGTTCCATGGTATGGCTGTACCATAGTTTGTTTAACCATTTGCTTGATGAAAGACATTTGGGTTGTTTCCTGTTTTAGTCATTACAAATAAAGCTGCTATGAATATTTGTGCATAGGTTCTTGTGTGAACAGAACATAAGTCATCATTTCTGTTGGATAAATGCCCAAGAGTACAATTGCTGGCTGATAGGAGAAGCACATGTTTTAGTTTTATAAGAAACTGTCAAACTTGTCCAGAGTGGCTATACAATCTTATATTCCCTCTGGTAACATGGATCCAGTTTCTTTGCCTCCTCGACAGCATTTGATATATCACTATTTTTCATTTTAACATTTGGATAGATGTGTAATAATATCTCATTTTGGTTTTAATTTGCATTTCCCCAATGACTAATGATGTCAAATATCTTTTCATGTGCTTTCTTGTCATGTGTATATCCTCTTCAGTGATATGTCTGTTCTTGTCTTTTGCCCATTTTTTTTTTTGAAACAGGGTCTCACTTTGTTGCCCAGGCTAGAGTGAGTGCTGTGGCGTCAGCCTAGCTCACAGCAACCTCAAACTCCTGGGCTCAAGCAATCCTGCTGCCTCAGCTTCCCGAGTAGCTGGGACTACAGGCATGCACCACCATGCCTGTTTTGCCCATTATTAATTGGATTTTTTTAACTGTTGAGTTTTGAGAGTTCTTCATATATTTTATTATTTATTAAAAATATATATTTTTACGACTAGTCAAGTGCAGTAGTAGGAAGGGGGAACGAGTATGCATATATTTTAAATGTAAGGCCTTTGTTGGGTATGTAGTTAGCAAACATTTTCTTCCACCCTAGCTTGTTTTTCCATCCTCTTCAAAAGGTCTTTCACAGAGCAAAAATTTTTAATTTCAATAAGGTTCAATATATCAACTTTTTCCTTTTATAGATTGTGCTTTTGGTGTTAAGTGTAAAAATTATTGCCTGAGGATATTTATATTATTTCCTCCCTAAACTCTTGATAGTTTTACATTTTACATTTAAATCTATGAGTCATTTTGAGTGAATTTTGTACAAAGTGTGAGGTTTTGGTGTGAGGTTCATTTTTGGTCTATATTTGTTCAACTTCTCCAGCATTATTTGTGGAAAAAGGCCCCTGACTCCACTTTTGTACCTTTCTCCCATCCATTCCCGTACAGTAGTCAGAATGATTTTTTAAAAAACGTATATCAGGGCCGGGCGCGGTGGCTCACGCCTGTAATCCTAGCACTCTGGGAGGCCGAGGTCGGAGGATTGCTCAAGGTCAGTAGTTCGAAACCAGCCTGAGCAAGAGCAAGACCCCATCTCTACTATAAATAGAAAGAAATTAATTGGCTAACTAAGATATATATACAAAAAATTAGCCAGGCATGGTGGTGCATGCCTGTAGTCCCAACTACTCAGGAGGCTGAGGCAGGAGGATTGCTTGAGCCCAGGAGTTTGAGGTTGCTGTGAGCTAGGCTGATGCCATGGCACTCACTCTAGCCTGGGCAACAAAGTGCTGATGCCATGGCACTCACTCTAGCCTGGGCAACAAAGTTAGACTCTTGTCTCAAAAAAAAAAAAACCAAAAAAACAAAAACAAAAAAACAACAACAAAAACGTATATCAGATGATGTTATGCCTCGTTAAAAATCTCTATTGGCATCCCATCATAATATAATCTGGTCCCATTCCAACCATATTTTTTACCACTTGATGCCCACTATAATACGTGGCTCTCAGATAATTACCCGGTTTGCTTCCTCACTTCACGTAAGTCTATTCTCACTTGGGATTTCCTCGACCAACCTTATTTTCCTCCCACCCTGCTTTTTGTTCACAGCACTTACAAAATGCGATATATTACATACTAATTTGTTTATTGTTTGCCTCTACTCCCAACCCTACCAGAAGCTCCAGAAGAGCATACTGTTATAACCCCGGGGCCTAGAATAGTACCTGGCACATAGGCGGTACTCAATAAATAAAAGATTGCATGACAAGCTAGAAGGACTGAATAAACAGAACGGGAGCAACAAATCTACTTCTAGATCAGGCGCTTGTTTGGATTTCATGCAACGTGTGAGCGCCACCTCTCGGGAAGCTTATTCGTTTGCGGACGAAGGAAGTGAGTCACAGAATCTTAGTGGGGGGAAAAAACAAAAAAGAAAGACAGCATCTAGCCGGAAAAGCCTGAAAAAACTAATACCGGAAGCTAAACATTAGAAGGTTGCTCCATAGAATGACTCCCTACCCACAAGAAGGAAGCGTGGCCTAGCGGTGTTGCACAAAATGGGCTCTCCGGCAGCGATTCTGCGCAGAAGCGTTCCGTGCATGCGGGTGCCTGCAACCACGTGGGGCGCGGATGCTTTTTCGGTTTGACCGGCAGCAGCACGAGTTGAAGCCCAAGCAACAGAAGGGGTGAGAGGGGTTCATGTCCTGAGAGGAAAGGGAAAAGAATGGGGTAGGGTGAGAGGGAGAGGTCGGGAGGTTTAGTGAAGAGGTGAGTTCCGCTCTAAGAGATGGCGAGGGGGATCCGATGGAAGGGCTGGGGTGTGCCTGTCGGCAGGTGCATACCTGTCAGCACACGTCCCACGCCACGTGGACTCGCCTTTGTCCGTGCCTGCCTTTCCCATGAGGCCGCGACAACAGGGCTGTGCCTTATTTGTTTCTGTCGAGTAGAGTGCGGGGCACGGAGTTAGTCTCAGAAAGTGCTTGCTGAATGAATGACGGGTGTGTCAGGGATCGCTGTGTAGGGGCATTTATAGGGGCTATTTCTAGCGCTTTATCTCTATTTTCTCCTGGAGAATCATGCTTGCCCCGCGCTCCATCGGGGGTTCTCGAGCCAGTCTTTAAGCTTTGTCTCTTTTTCTTGGAAGAGCAGGGTGATGCACTGTCTTTGCTCTTAGTGACTGCTAGGCTCTGTCACTAGGTACTGCAGACAGACACGGGAGTAAACCAGCCCTGTATGCAGGCCGCAGACCAGTAGGGAGGTGGACACACAAACGGATAATTGGACTACAATGTTAAGGGGCTGTGATAAATGGTTAATTAAAGTACAGGAAGGTACAGCCAAGAGGTAGTGTGGCTGTCCACTCTAGGGATTGTCTTTCAAGGTGAATGGGGCTCCTCCTTTCTCATACTGTGAGACGGGGCAGGTTATGAATCCAGTCTTTTTCGTGAAATCAGGGGTTATGCTCTCTAGGCTTCCTTCCAACATGATGTCCCATATCAGATATTAGTAATGACTTTAGTTCTCCCATAATCCACTGTTTATGGGCTGGTCAGAATTGTTACATATTATATTAAGGTGTAGCATAAATTGCATAGGGTTGGGATAAATTGCATAGGTTTGGTCCTCTTCCTGCTGCTCTGGTCCTGTTTTCCTCATTTGTATAATCAAGAGGGATACAATGAAGAAACATAATGATATATTCTCTAAAACCCCTTCCAGTTCTAATACCATGGCTGTGACAGTCAATCAAACTGTATTTCATACTGCCTGGTACCGTATGTCACTTTGACATTAGTAAAACTACACATCGGTGTGGTTTTCCCCAACCTGGACTATTGAGAAAGACAGTGTCTTATTTTTATATCCCTATCTTGATTCCACCACAGTATTGGGTACACACACAGTAGATGCTTCATAGAAGTTTATTAAATCAAATGGAATAGAAATTACAGCCCCTCCTTTTGGACCTTTCTCTTCTTTGGGATATTAGTTAATAGATGAGAGGGCTGGGAAGTAATGGTTTTTTACCAGACGGAGACATGGAGTTGACATTAGAGATTAAACCAGCTTTATGGGGTAATCTGCTTGAGAAGGATAAAGATGTAGCAGGAGATTCAGTGCCATTCCATTCCCCCACCTGCCTATCCCCAGGACCATGGCCAACAGTGAGCGCACCTTCATTGCCATCAAGCCTGATGGGGTCCAGCGGGGTCTCGTGGGAGAGATTATCAAACGTTTTGAGCGGAAGGGATTCCGCCTTGTTAGTTTGAAATTTATGCAGGTAAGCAGACTTCATTCTTACTATTTTGACTTCTCTGTAGTATAAGGGGACCCTGCCGATTAACCTTTTTCTCCCCTCCCTCCCCCTTTTTTTAAGAAATGGGGTCTCGATATGTTGCTCAGTCTGCAGTGCAGTGGCTATTCCCAGGTGCAATCATTGTGCACTACAGCCTGGAACTCTTGGGCTCAAGTAATCCTTCTGCCTCAGCCTTTCTAGTAGCTGGGACCATAGGAGTGTGCTACTGCACCTGGCCTCCCCTCTTTTTTAGACTTCTCCTTCATAGGGTGAACACAGATGTCTTGAAACCTGGAAACTCTTCAGTGACCTAGCATCTGGGCTAAATCTTGGAACAAACCAAGTTGGGACTTTCGAAAACAGTCTCTCCTTTCCCTTAGCAATGCAGAGTTCTACATATTACCGCACCACCGTAATTTCTGACTCAGAGCTCTGGGCATGTTTAAGCTGCTGGTCTTGAGCTTCTTGATCAGATAATTTTAGAGTGCTTGTTTTCCCCTTTGAGGCAGGTTGTTTTTCAACAAGAAAATCTTTTCATAATTTTACTACCCGCTTAGTGTCTAGCATGTATTAGGCACCATAGGAGTTTATAGGGGAAAACTATAGTTTTGCCTTTGGAGAGGCTCTCCTAAAACAGCAGAGAGAGGACACAGTTGCAAGACACTTACAAAGCAATCTTTCAATAAATGCAAAGGATTGATTGGCCAAGAACTCTTTTTTTTAGTCTCACTTTGTTGCCCAGGCCAGGGTGAGTGCCGTGGCGTCAGCCTAGCTCACAGCAACCTCAAACTCCTGGGCTCAAGCAATCCTGCTGCCTCAGCCTCCCGAGTAGCTGGGACTACAGGCATGCGCCACCATACCCGGCTCATTTTTTCTATATATATTAGTTGACCAATTAATTTCTTTCTATTTATAGTAGAGATGGGGTCTCCATCTTGCTCAGGCTGGTTTTGAACTCCTGACCTTGAGCAATCCGCCCGCCTTGGCCTCCCAGAGTGTTAGGATTACAGGCGTGAGCCACCACGCCAGGCCAGCCGGCCAAGTACTCTTTTTCAAACAAATTCAAGAGATGAGAATTCAAATTCTGAAATCAAACAAATTAGAGGGTAGTATTTTTTTCCCATTAAGGGAATCAATTTTGGACCCTCTTAATGGATTTTAAATGTAGTTTGATTAGCAATTTAGTTTCTGGATGATGTTCTAGAAAATTGCTTTTATGTAAAAGGGGGTAGACTGATGTTCATGCTGAGGAGACAGCATGGTGTCCAAGGTCAAGGGGCTGGCTTCCTTCTTGCTGTGTCATCCCATGGTGGAGCTGAAGCACAAGAGAGTGCCTGTGTGTGTGTGGGGGGGGGGGAAGAGCAAGAGGGACTGAACCTTGCTTTTATAACAAACCCATTGCTGAGATAAGACATTCATTCATTCATGAGGGTAAAGCCCTCATGACCCAAACACCTCCCAGTAGTCCCCACCTCCAAACACAGTTGCATTGGGGATTAAGTTTCCAACATATGGACACATTCAAACCATAGCAGAAGGTAAAATGAAATGAACACATTTACCATGTGCTGGGCACATATGTTTTCTCATCTAGCCCTCATGTCAGCCTGGAGAATTACTTATTCTTATTCTTTTTTTTTTTTTTTGTGGACGAGGTTCTGGGGCCCCAAGAGCAGGGGGCCCCGGAAGTCGCCCTACTTATTCTTATTCTCATGGTTGTTAGTGATGAGGAACCTGAGGCTTAGAATCATTAATGATCGTAGTATCACATGGTGATGCAGCTGAATTTTCACTAGGGTCTCTCTGATCCCTGAGTGCAGACATTTTCTCCTTTACATTGAATTTCCTGTCAAGGATATGGGTTTGGAGAGGAATGGAAGGAAGGATAGCTTCTGTGACTCTAAAGGGTTATATAAATCTGGTGTGGAAGTGAGAAACAAAGGAAAACTTGAGCTTCCTCTGCCCCCCATTCCCCGAAAAATCCTATGATCTGTTTTGCAGACTGAAGATAATCAGAACCAATTAATAGGATTGATTAATAGAAGTTCCAATTAGTAGGAGTATCTGGGTAAGGGAAGGTGAAGTCAGTGTGTATTGGGAGAGTACCACTACAAAATTCTCCCATCCAGAGAGGAAGGGACAGGGTGAGGGGTGAATTCCTATCATGGAGTGATCATGTGGCCATGTAATTTTACTTTGGCAAGTGGTAATCAACCAGCAGTTGAATGATAGGATGTTCTGGGTGTACTTTTCAGCAGCTCATCTCCACATTTGTGCATATCGTTAAAGTATGCAATATGCTTCGTACGATGCAGTACCACATAACTAGGAAAACTATGGGACCCTGTTAGACCCTTCACAAGCACATATGCAGTGGCAAAGAGAGAACACAGCCAAGTTGAGTTGAAACTGCTAAGCAGATGGTTTGTTCTCTAGCTAACTTGACTTGTTCCCACATACCAGCCTTGCAGTATAAGAGATTCTAATTAATTTTTCAGCAAAATTCTTATTGCTAGATGTCATGTATTTTGGGTGGTTTGTAAATACCTGTGGGAATCACACAGTCACCATGCTTTATTCTCTGAATAAATGTGCAGTAACCATGGGAAATGGCCTGGTTCAGTCTGCTGCTCACCTAATGCTCAGATTATCACCTCACTGCCCTCCAACATTTTATTTGGGATTTGCTTTGGGAATAGAAATTCACTGTATTCTTTATTTTCCTGTCTAAACTGAGATGGCTGGATTTAATTCTAATGGTTTGTGGTTTTATTCTAATCAGTCAAGGCCAATAGGGGGACAGTTGGCACAAAACTGTAGAAGCACTTTTATTCCCTGTCACCGCTCCCTTCTGGTAGTATGGAGAATGAATTGGGTTACAATAGAATCAGTGAGCTTTTGAATAGCAGATGGGTGAGGGGGGATTATCTAGACTGCTAGTTTTTAGATAGTTTTGAGGCCAGTCTCATTCTCTATTCTGTGGAATAGGCTTCCGAAGACCTGCTCAAGGAACACTACGTTGACCTGAAGGACCGTCCGTTCTTCGCTGGCCTGGTGAAGTATATGCGCTCAGGGCCAGTGGTTGCCATGGTGAGTGTGCCTATGTGGGACGTTGATGTGTATGACTCAGTGCGCAACGCAATGGGGAAGAGCGAGTGTTGTGGCTCTTGCTTCTAGTGCCAGGTCCTCACTGATGCAGAGGAAATGGGCTAGGAGGATTGGACAGGTAGGGTAGGAGTTGGCTCTCTGACCCACCAAACACAAGATACATTTGCTTGCTGAGCTGAGCACCCCTGGCTAGGAGAGATCAGGAGAGGCCTGCCTGATTGTAAGCTCCTGGGGGGCAGGGAGACTGCCTCGTTTATCACAGTGCTACTTCTCCACATATGTATTACTTGTCATCTTTGTGCCAGACTCTCTTCTAGACACTGGGTATATGGTCCTGAATGAGACAACATAGGTATCTATTTTCATAGCTTTCTTTGCCTACACATTTTGTTTTTTGAGACAGAGTTTCTCTCTGTCACCTGGGCTAGAGTGCCGTGGCATCAGCCTGGCTCACAGCAACCTTAAAGTCCTGGGCTCAAGCAATCCTCCTGCCTCAGCCTCCCGAGTAGCACGGACTATAGGTGTATGCCACCATGCCTGGATAATTGTTCTATTTTTAGTAGAGATGGGGGTGTCACTCTTACTCAGGCTGGTCTTGAACTCCTGATCTCAAGCAATCCTCTTGCCTCGGCGTCCCAGAGTGCTAGGATTATGGGCGTGAGCCACCGTATGTGGGCAGACAATAAAGAAACTAAAAAATACATGTATCAGCTAATCCTTAGTGATATACACAGAAAGGAAATGGGATAATATGATAGCAAGTGACCATTTTAGATTGGATGGTCAAGGGCTGCATTTTTCTTTTTTTTCCTCTCTCTTTTTTTTGAGACAAAGTCTCACTTTGTTGCTCAGGCTAGAGTGAATGCTGTGGCATCAGCCTAGCTCACAGCAACCTCAAACTCCTGGGCTCAAGCGATCCTACTGCCTCAGCCTCCCGAGTAGCTGGGACTACAGGCATGTGCCGCCATGCCCGGCTAATTTTTCTATATATTTTTAGATGGTCAATTAGTTTCTTTCTATTTATAGTAGAGATGGGGTCTCGCTCTTGCTCAGGCTGGTTTCGAACTCCTTACATTGAGTGATACACCCGCCTCGGCCTCCCAGAGTGCTAGGATTACAGGCGTGGGCCACTGCGCCCAGCTGTGGGGCTGCATTTTTCAAACTAAGATCTGAATGACAAGGAGGAGCCAGCCATGTACAAAATCAGTGAAGAATGTTTCCAGTCAAGAAAACAGCCTGTGCAAAGTACCCGGAGTGGGGACGAGCTTGCTTTTTGAAGTACAGAAGGAAAGTCCAAATACCTGAAGCCTGATAGGTGATGGAGAAGTTAGGAAGAGAAGAGTTCAGAGGCTTGGGCAGGGGCCACATTGCGCAGGGCTGTGTTGGCCATGTGCCTCCTGAGTGTTGGAAAGCTCTGGGAGGTTTTGATCTTGGCATTTGAAAAGGCCATTCTGGCTGCCATATCAAGAATGGATTGCAGAAAGGCAAGCGTGAGGGCAGGGAAACCAGTATCCCCAGTACAGGAATAAGTAGATAACTCTATAAATAATTGTTCAGTGAATAAATGTCATCTTAAGAGGCCTTTTTCTTTTTTTTTTGGATTAATAGTTGCCAGATTTTCTGCTGAGATTGGTTTTCCTTGACCATATCTTCTTCTGTCCTTGGAGGTCTGGGAGGGGCTGAATGTGGTGAAGACAGGCAGAGTTATGCTCGGAGAGACCAACCCTGCGGACTCCAAGCCTGGGACCATCCGTGGGGACTTTTGCATCCAAGTTGGCAGGTGGGATTTTAGGTTTTTTTACCCTTTTCCAAAATCTGAGCTAGTTGCCACAAGAATTTGGGTTTCTGATGATGGAGATGGACATGATGCCACAGGTGGGTTGATTTCACCAGAGTTTATTGTTTTCTTCCCTCTTAAGTTGGCATTTGGCTTTGAGGGCTCTTTGCCTCTGGTCATCAATATCACTGTGCTTGTGCCTCTGTAACAAAGCACAGAACCTGGTACAACACTTTGCTGGCCGGAGTCTTCCCCAAGCCAGCTATCAATGCTTCATCCATGTTGCTGGGAGGGCTGGATGTAGGGAGGGCATTTTTCATGCTTCAATTAATGGCAGCCATAGTTTTTTCCTTTTGACATGGTCTACTGTACATGGAGCTTTGGCCTTTTTGCTGTAATGGGTGTAGGATTTTGGCAATCAGCAGTGCAAGTGGGCTTCCGGGCAGTTTAATCTTTCTGGTCTTGGTAACGTGGCTGTCTCTTTCCCCACCCAGGAACATTATTCATGGCAGTGATTCTGTGGAGAGTGCCGAGAAAGAGATCCGCTTGTGGTTTCGCCCTGAGGAACTGGTGGATTACAAGAGCTGTGCTCAGAACTGGATCTATGAATGACAGGGCAGACCACAGTGCTTCTCCCATCCATCTCCCCTCCTTCCCATGGGCACTGCCCAGGCTGTAGCAAACCCAGTTATTTATGGAAACTTCCTTATAATTTGGAGAGAAACTCTTGGAGCTGTGAGTGCTCCCTGTACAGTATTATGTGCTACCAGCAGATTAAAATGTTTTATCTCAATGTATGATTTGTTGGCCGGGCGCGGTGGCTCACACCTGTAATCCTAGCACTCTGGGAGGCCGAGGCAAGTGGATTGCTCAAGGTCAGGAGTTTGAAACCAGCCTGAGCAAGAGCGAGACCCCGTCTCTACTAAAAATAGAAAGAAATTAATTGGCCAACTAATATATATAGAAAAAATTAGCTGGGCATGGTGGCGCATGCCTGTAGTCCCAGCTACTTGGGAGGCTGAGGCAGCAGGATTGCTTGAGCCCAGGAGTTTGAGGTTGCTGTGAGCTAGGCTGATGCCATGGCACTCAGTCTAGCCTGGGCAACAAAGTGAGACTCTGTCTCAAAAGAAAAAAAAAAATGTAAGATTTGTTGAGTTGTTACTTTGTATTGCTGTTTTGCCTTGTATTTTTTCCCCTTTTCATGTACTCTGGGTAACCTGAGTTAATAGAGAGTGTAAATGCCATGTAAATTACCGGTGGTCCCTGGGTTATAGACCAGATACATTCCTGAGAACAGAACCATCTTTAGGTCAGATTTGTATGTAACTTGGGTCCCTGATTAACAGCACATATATGGTAATAATAATAATAATAACAACAATACTATAACAGCTCATATGTGATAAATACACATTGTAATACTGGAATAATAATAATATCCCTGTACTATAATAATAAATTATAGAAATGATTGTGCTCTTTTAATTCAAACAAACAGAACATAAAAAAAAACTCATATAAAAAGTTTATTTAGGAGATAGAAGAAACTTCAAAAAAGAATATTAAAGGTTAACACTCACCTAATGTGGCAGCAATGTCTTGTTTACTGGAAGGGGCATTTTTGAGGCAAGAAGGCAGTTGACATTAATTGGAAGGTGACGATGGAGATGGCGCTGGAGAGGATGGAGTGGGTGCTGGAGAGTCAGGGTTTCATTCTGTTGCTGGAGGAGGGAACTCACTGAAGTTGGTTTCTTGGAAAAGATATCTAGGGTTGTTTGCACAGCCGTTTTCTTTTTCTCATCATAAACGGCCTTGTGGCAGCTGATGTTCTAACTGCACGGTAAACGTTTGTAAACTGCTCAATGTTAGGATCCTTCTCCTCAAGCTTAGCAAATCCTGCTTCAGTGAGACGAAAGGATTCAGCTAATTCTGGTGTCATAAACTTTCCTGGCTCTGGATCTACTGATTCTTCCTGTCCTTGTGTGCCTATCAGCTGCTTCTCTATATGAGATGAGCCGTTAGAGTAAAAATGCTGTACCAACAACCTGCTTATGCCATGCAGGTTTGTTTACATGCGTGGAAGAAACTAGTCCCTGAATTATTAGTTTAATTATTTAATTATAAATTATCTTTATGGGCAGTCTTTCAAACCCATTCTTAGTATGGAATTCTGTAAGTCGTGTGACCCATAACCTGGGGACTGCCTGTATTTCTGTTGGCCTGAGAGATCTCACACAAATACATTCTCTGCCTACCTCTCTCCTTGTCCCCTGCATCGTCCCATCCACCCTTGGCCCTGAGCCAATAAACAAGCATCTAGGGAGCATCTGCTAGGTATCTAAGACTGTACTGGGCACAGAGGATTAATCAGCAATAAAAGATACCCATTCTGTTCTTGAAAAACTCTTAGGGAATAAGGGGATGGGGAGTGTGAGAAGTTGTAACTACTTCAAAAATCAGAAAAGCTATGTGGGCAGTAGGCCTGGTTCCCTGGGATGGCCTTAAAACAAAGTGGGAGAAATTTTTTAAGTAGCCTCATTAGGATATTAATTTGGTTACTTTAACAGAGACAAGATCGAAGTTTACTTCTCTTTTATTTAAAAGTCCAAACTTGCTGGACGTGGTGGGGTGCACCTGTAATCCCAGCTACTCCTACTCAGGAGGCTGAAGCAGGAGCATCACTTGAGCCCAGCAGTTCGAATCTAGCCTGGGCAATATAGCGAGACCCTCTCTGTCTAAAAGATTAAAAGCCCAAGCTGGTCAGTAGGGGTGGTGATGGTGGTAAGGCTCTGATCCTTGAGATTGTCCTTGGACCCAGTTCCTTCTAATCAACCTAAGATGGACCGCCACCCCACGTCTGCCTCATAGCAAGTTGGGAAGGGAAGTATCCCTCACTGATAAAGGGACAACTCTGAATTTATCAAACTTCCCTTCCTCTCACATTCCATTGGCCAGAACGCAGTCACATGGCTGCATCAAGCTGCAAGAGAAACTGGGAAATGTTATCTCTCTTTGGGCAACCTTTTTTTTTTTTTTTTCTTTCTACCTGAAGCTGAACCTTCGGGCAACCTTGAGCCCAGGTAAAACTCAGGAGTTATACTATGAGAAGGGAGGAAGTGAGATTGGCTACTGGGGAACAACTATGAATTTTGCCACAAACTTTAGCCGGTTTTTTTCTTGGTATCCTCCCTGTTCACCTGGCTTTGATAGAGGCCATAGAGGGAAGGGACTTGTCAGGAGGCCAATTGGGCTGGGCTACCTTCTTTAGGGGCAGCTGATGGCTAAGTGCATGGCCTGTTTGTTTTGCGGGGTGAGATGAGAGTACCAGGACTTTGGGGAATGAATGTGGATGTGGTGAGGCTGGAGGGTTAGCGCCTTCCCAGTTAAGGACAGTCTTTCCAGGAAGGAAAGGAGAGGAAAAGGCAGATGGCTGGTACTGACTGTGCCTTAAGTAGGTGTCGGTCATCCTGCCAAGGGGTAGACAGCTCTTCACTGGACAGGGAAATGCTCATGAAATTCCCAGACCCTTTCCCACAAATGACACTTGGTAACTCTGAAAAGGAAACCCAAATAAGAGTGTGCTTCAGATTGAGGCCAAAGGACACACTGCTGCAGAATGGGGGCAAGTGACAGTCATTGCCAATCTATTGTGGATTAATGCTCTAACCAGAATTTTGGAAAGCAGACGAGGTGGAATAGAGGCCTGGACTGTCATCCATCTGGCCAGTGGCAGGTGATCAGTGCAGCACCAGGACTACAGGCGTGATGGCATGATTGAGGTGGCCAGCTCAGAGCATACCGGCTCCCCCAGCCCAGGGCAGCACGCACTGCTGTGCCGGTGTCAGTAAGTGCTGGTGCGCTGAGAAAAGGGACTCCTTGATTCCCCCAGGGAAGCCGCCCACCACCAAAGGGGGCCGTTCGCCAGGCACCCAGGAGGAAGTCCATGACAGGCCTGCTCTCTGTGACAGAATCTGGGTTGAACTGGATGACCTGACCGCACAACAGTGCCGGCGGGGCAGGGAGCCCCAACTCAGAGTGGGAACGGGGCTGCTGGTTGGGGCTGGAAATGTGGGTGGGGAGACAGGCACCCAGGGAGCAGGGCGTACTGCAAAAAGGGCATCTAGCTAAGGGGTTTGAGTATCACTGTGTAAGCGGTAGGGGTGGGGGGTAGTCATCGCAGCAGAGCAGAGGCAGGATCCGATGGCCGTTTGCGGACGGTGCTGAGCAAGGCTCGGTGCGTGCTGGGAGAGGGGAGGTCGCGGCGCTTGGGAGGCTGCCAGTAAGTTTGTATGAGGATAGCTGAGGGCTTAACCAGGGCTCCAGCAGAGAGAAGGGAAAGGGGAGGCTGGATCAGAGGTAGGGAGCATTAGGACCGCGGGTGCACGAGGGGGAGGGTGCTCGGGCGGATGGTGGAAGCGGACGGCACTGACCACGTGAACGCAAGGCCAGGAGCAGGGTCTCGTGTGTCTGCGCCCGTGTGCGTGTGTGCAGGGAGGGGTACGTGAGGGCCACGGGAGAGGTGCGGACCTGCACTTGGGACGTGCGTAGTCTTACTCGTGGGACGTCCAGGTGGGGCACAAATCACTTCCTGCCTCTGGCTCCCTCGCTGGCGCCGTCCCCAGCCAGGGCGGCACCCGGCAGGCCGCTGGGCGGGGACAGAGTCCTGCGGCCGCGGCCGGCCGGCGCGTGAGCGTCCCCGCGGGTTGGATGGCGGGGCCCTCCGGGGTGTGGCCGCCGGGCGCCCCGCCCCGCGCCCCTCCTCCGCCGGCGGCTCCCGGGGCTGCAGGTCTCTCGACTCTCGGCCTCCGCGACTCAGCCCAGCGCCAGCGCCGCCCGGCCCGCCAGCCTCCCGGTAAGGCGGTGGGGACCCCTCGCCCGCTTGCGCCGCGCAGGCTGTGCCCGAGCTCCGGCGCCCCCGGCCCCCGGCCTCCACCCTCCCCCATTCCGGCCTCGCGCGGGCGCCCCCGGCCCCACCCCAGCCCCCGGCCCCTCCGCGCCTGGGGGAGCGGGGCCTCGGCAGCGCCGGCCCCGTGGCTCGGGGCGCTGCGGAGGGGCGCCGGCCCGGGGCGGGGCGGAAGGTCCGGGAAGCCACGTGTCCCCGCGGCCGCGCGGGATGGGGGAGGCGGGCCGGGCGGGCGCCCACGTGGCCCTGCTGGCGGGGGACCCGGGCCCTGACCGCGCCTCTCACCACGCAGGACCATGGCCAACCTCGAGCGCACCTTCATCGCCGTCAAGCCGGACGGCGTGCAGCGCGGCCTGGTGGGCGAGATCATCAAGCGCTTCGAGCAGAAGGGGTTCCGCCTCGTGGCCTTGAAGTTACTTCGGGTAACGCGCCCCCGTCTCCCCGCCCGCTCCCCAGCCGGATATCGGGGTCCCCCCGCCCCGCAGCGGCCGGTGCGCGTCTTCGTCCCGAGCCGCAGTCCGCCTGGGCCCGCGGGAGCCCCCTCGCCCTGTGCCCCGCCCGGGGCTGCGCCGGCCGCCACCCCTGCCCCGGGCTCGGGAGGGCTGCCGACCTTGGGAAGGTTAAGCGGAGGTGACGTGACTCCTCCGGAATTGGATTCCTTCCGGCCCCGTCCTCGGCCACCGACTTGCCCGGGCCATCGACTTGTCCCCGCCGCCGCGAGGCAGGAGACCCCCTACTCCTGCCCACGCGGCTCTACATTTGCACAGAATGGAGGCTTGGAATCTTTTGTGCTTTGGCCTGAAACTTAGAGTTGGTTGAGGTTTTAGGTGACGTGTCCCTTCCTTTTGCATAGATTAATAACTGTATTTTCCACATTAAAATTGGGGCATAGATCTGATTCCATACACTTATTTAAGGGACAGGTGTCTGAAATTCAACCTAACTGATGAGTGAAGAGGATGTTCTCAGTTCCCATCTGAAATATTTAAAAGGGCATTGTGAGTAGGCCAAAGGAGTTTAATATGACCTCTGCCTGGCATATTACCTGACATATTTATTATACTTCAATTGCAGCCGGTATATAACTCCCTAAATCTAGATCCTCAAACCCTCTGCTTTTTTTTTTTTTTTTTTTTTGAGACAGACTCTGTTACCCTGGCCAGAGTGCTGTGGCATTAGCCCAGCTCACAGCAGCCTCAAACTCCTGGGCTCAAAGGATCCTCCTGCCTCAGCCCTCCCGAGTAGCTGGGACCACAGGCATATGCAACCATGCCTGGCTAATTTTTTCTATATACTTTTAGTTGTCCAGCTAATTTCTTTCTTTTTTTTTTTTTTTTGGAGACAGAGTCTTGCTCTGTTGCCCAGACTAGAGAGTGCCGTGCATCAGCCTGGTTTACAGCAACCTCAAATTCCTGGGCCTCAACAATCCTCCTGCCTCAGCCTCCGAGTAGCTGGACTACAGGCATGGCCACAATGCCCAGCTAATTTTTTCTATGTATATTAGTTGGCCAATTAATTTCTTTTTATTTATAGTAAAGACGGGTCTCGCTCTTGCTCAGGCTGGTCTCGAACTCCTGAGCTCAAATGATCCACCTGCCTCGGCCATTACTTCTTAGGATTACAAATCCGTAACATTGATATTATGAGAGTGTTTTTATGATTTGAACAATCTTTCTGCTAAAATGGTTATTGATTATATGTTTTGGAGGTTTTTTTTAATATATATACACACACTTATAAGTGTGGGCTAAAATATCAAACCTGGCTTTTATTATTTTTTATTTTTTTTAAAAATCTCACTCTGTTCCCAGGCTAAGTGCAGTGGTTCATCAGCTCACCAACCCTCAGACTCCGGGCTCAAGCTATCCTCCTGTCAGCCTCCTGAGAGCTGACTACAGGCATGGCCACCATGCCTGGCTAATTTTCTATTTTTTAGAGATGGATCTGGCTATGTTGCCTAGTCTGATCTTGTACTCCTGACATCCTGCCTTGGCCTCCCAAAGTACTGAGATGACAGGCATGAACCACCAAACTCAGCCAAACATTACTTTAGAGAACTTACCATGTTAATTGGGGGTTCAGAGGATGGGATGGAGCCTTATTTGAGTCTTCCAACTTATTTCCTGACTGGTACCTCCTCTTGAATGCCAGCCTCTGAGGAACACCTGAAGCAGCACTACATTGACCTGAAAGACCCGCACTTCTTCCCTGGGCTGGTGAAGTACATGAACTCAGGCCCCATTGTGGCCATGGTGAGTGCTTGTGGGGCTGACTGGGGAACCAGGAAGATGGCTCAATGTTCTTTTTGTCTTCCCCAGCTACTCTAAATTCTTTGTTTCACAAATGGAGCCTGCTGGAGTTGTTTAGTTAACTAGCAACTAGGAGCTGGGAGGATAAAAGAAAGGGAATCAGACCTTAGAAAAACAAAACAAACAAACAAAAAAACTACACTTTCACATGAATCTCCCCAGGGTTAAAATAGAGTCTCAGTGGGTACAAAAAAATGCTCCCTTTCTTCTGTTTGACAAGATGTTTTAGTAATTAATGTTTCCTAGATTTAAAAGAAACTTTAAGAAATTCTCTCATGAAAAATTCACACCAATTATATATTAAGTGAAGCAGACACTCTCTAATGCTGTGCTAGAAATGAAGCATTTTCTTCTGGATGGTGTTAATGTCCAACTGCGATTGAAGAGAATGGAAGGAGAGAGGGTAACAGGGAGGCACTGAAATTGCTGGGAAAGTAGACCTGTTTCCTGTTCCCCAAATGTGGCTTTTTCTTCCTTCTGCTCTTTCCTGGGTTACTTTCCCCGTGTGCGTCAGTCTTCCCACTGATCCTTTTCCTGTCTGACTGCTTTTCCCTACACTCTCTTCACTGTTTCTTGTCAGTGTTTGTGGCTTTATTAAAATTTCTTCAGTCTGTTTATCTCTGTCTTGGACTGGGAAACCCCCAAGTTGGGTAGGCTTTTCTCTGTATCTTGGCAATACGTTTGGAATAGAATTTTTTTGTATATAGGCCCCCTGCTGTCTTCTGGGATTAGCTGATAATCACGGCACTGATTGGTTTCATTGACGTGTGCTGTTAGGGAGGAGTAGATGTTTGTCCCTGCTGGTCCTGAGTGGCACATCTGATGGGATTCCTTTTCCTTACTGCCAAGGTCTGGGAGGGGCTGAATGTGGTGAAGACAGGCCGAGTGATGCTTGGGGAGACCAATCCAGCGGATTCTAAGCCAGGCACCATTCGTGGGGACTTCTGCATTCAAGTTGGCAGGTAAGTCCTGTGGGGTGTTGGTGACTTCTACTCCACACCATTTAAATGGAGTAGAAAGCAAGCATTTTGGGGGCATAGCCTAATTTCAGAAAAATAGGAACTTATATATTAGGTGATGATTACCACTGGATAAAAGCTTTTATAAATTTAGCTGCTTCCGTAGTTTACTTTGAACCAAGACACTCCACGAGGGAGCTGCATGGGGCGGTTCCTGTGTCCCACAGCAGAAAAGTAAGGGTGGGGAAAGCAAGGGTTCTAGCCTTGCCTGTGCCCTTTTGGCATTATGTCCGTGGACGTGTTACTTATTAATCTTTTGGTTCCCTCACTTGTACAAAATCTGTACAAAACTCCACAGAATTACAAGAGATTCAGAGGGATAAAGGGATTGTTATTAATAAGCATGTTACGTTGTGGTCATGCTTTGCAAATCCATGTTACAAGAAAATGCAGCAGAAATGGCCCTCGGTAAAGAATACATCACATTATACCTATCTCCTTTTTTTCTTTTTTTTTCCTCAAGAAACTGAAATCTACCAAGTACTATTTTGAAAGGGAAATCTTGGGAAGCATAATACAGTTGAACCAAGGGATCTTTTTAATCAAGCATCTTTATAATTGCTTTTTAGAAGAAAATAGTTTGGGGTGTAATTGGTTCTGCTGCTTCAAGGGGCAATTTGGCAGAAAAGGTCGGCAGTGGCTACCCTTTGCTGGCCCATGAAACAGACTTTTGCATTTCAAAACATGGCAACTGGTAATGATTCTCTTTCTTTAGGAATATCATTCATGGCAGCGACTCAGTGAAAAGTGCCGAAAAAGAAATCAGCCTATGGTTTAAGCCTGAAGAATTGGTTGACTACAAGTCTTGTGCTCATGACTGGATCTATGAATAAGAGGTGGACAAGGTTGTAGTCCCTTTCAGCACCGCTTGGTATGTCCCTGGACACAGCTCTTCATTCCACTGACTTGGAAGCAATAGTATTGATCATTCTTTTCTAAAGCATATTTACCAATAAAGCCTCTGGAAACTGGGCAGTCTCCTTGTACTTACTTCATACTAAGCTAAAAGAAGTGACTTGGTTCCTTGGCTACAGCAGCGTTGTCCAGAACTCAGTCCTGCTGATGATTGAAGAACGATCTTATCTAGGGGTAGGGAACCTTTACATGTTGGAAGGCCCCGTTAATTTAGCTGTAATCAGATAAGGCCACATTTAGGAAACTTCAATTAGATATATTTAAAAATGTATATTATTTTGTAAAAATCTACCTATTATGTACTTAATAATTTCAAAAAATGAAAACTATTTGTTAATTTTGAAGTTAACCTTTGAATGACTTTGTTATATCTGCTTTTTGTTGGAAAATATTTGAATACTTGTTTACATAATGGAGGTCTGTAGTTTAAGTTGATTCTCTAGATCTGAAGTCCCCAAAACCTAGTCCATGGACTAGTACCGGTCCCTGGCTTGTTAGGAATCAGGCCACACAGCAGGATGTGAGCAAGCCAACCAAAGCTTCATCTGTATTTGCAGCATTTATAGCCACTCCATCACTTGCGTCACTGCATCAGCTCTGCCTCGTTGTCGGATCAGTGGTGGCATTAGATTGTCACAGGAACGTGAACCCTCCTGTAAACTGCACGCAAGGGATCTGGGTTGCACTCTTTACGAGAATCTCATGCCTGATCTGAGGTGGAGCTGAGATTATCACTAGCAGAGAGGTTTGACTGCACAATAAATGTAATGTGCTCTTGAATCATTCCAAACCCACCCCCCAAAGCCCATGGAAAAATTGTCTTCATGAAACATCCCTGGTTCCCAAAAGGTTGAGGACTGCTGCTCTAGATAAGTATCAGTCATTTGTGACCTTAAGGGTGTCTTGATTCGTGTTAGGAGAATGCAGATTCACAGCAATAAGTGGTTGAAAAGCAAGAAAGCGTTTTTGGGGTATGTTGCTGGAAGTTGTATTCTGCATTTTTCCATATTTAGACCTTATCAAACAATGACTTAAAATGTTACTGAGAGCACAAACAGTTCCATCTGTAGTTCTTCAGATGCCTTGGTGACACCAACTTGGTGAGGCTGAAGTGCTAATTTGAGTGTGATGTCACGATTCTCAAAGTCAGCGACCCTTTCATTTTATTCTCCAATAAACGGGTCTATAACATTTGTGTATTCCTCAAATGATTCGCATAAATCATCCTGCTCATCAGTGACCTTTGCTAACTGCAGAAAATGTTCATCAAAAATTTCCTTTTGAAGAAAAAGTGTTTTGAAAAAGTTTAGCGTTTTCCAAAATGCTTGGATTTTTGGCCACATACCATATGTGGACTTAGTTTTTACCTTGCACAGAAATATTCAAGTAATTTTTATTTGACCTGATGTCACACAGAAATGCTGCATTCCTGTAGAAATCGTTTAATAATTTGCATGGCTAATTCTGTTCTTTGTAGAATTTAACTATCCGTTCTTGCAGAAATAAAATTTTGGCTCACACCTGTCCCTGTGATAACCAATGCACTTTAGAATGATAAGGCAAATCCACACTGAATACCTCATCATTCAACTTTAGTATGTTATGAAACTGATGATGCCACGTTGCATTTGCAGGAACATAGTTAACAATACTTATAACTTGTTGCAAAGCGTCACTTAAAATAGCTTTAGCACAGAGATTTTGCTGATGCAAGATGCAATGAAATGAGAGCATCTGGCTCTGTTAATACTTTTTTATCTGTGCAATAAAAATTTCATGTTTTCCTGTTATGAAAGGTGCACTGTCTGTACATACACTCCCTGAATGTATCAAATTCAGTCCCACTTAATGGCATTTATCTTGAAAGTTGTTGAAGATATTCCCCATGTTCTGTTTGCAAGAGTGCCCAGAAGTGTTGAGGTCAGTGACTTTAGAGTAGAAAAGAAACAATTCATTTTTTTCCTTCAGAATGACATAAATGCCTTAACGGGTTGGTACAAAAGTCACATCAGGATTCTAGTTTCGAGGCAATAATGAATAGAAAATTTATATATTTTGGAAATTTAATATTTTAAAAATTATTTTTCAATTTCAAATGTAATTCACTCATAGTCCGCCTGATAGTTTGTGCTGTGCATTGATGATGAATCCGTTTTGCTCGTGTGATGAGGAAAGCTTTATTTTATTTATTTATTTATTAATTTTGAGACAAGAGTCTTGCTTTGTTGCCCAAGCTAGAGTGAGTGCTGTGGCGTCAGCCTAGTTCACAGCAACCTCAATCTCCTGGACTCAAGCAATCCTCCTGCCTTAGCCTCCCAAGACTACAGGCATGGGCCACCATGCCCAGCTAATTTTTTCTATATATATTAGTTGGCCAATTAATTTCTATTTATAGTAGAGATGGGGTCTTGCTCTTGCTCAGGCTGGTTTTGAACTCCTGACCTGGAGCAATCCACCCACCTCGGCCTCCCAGAGTGCTAGGATTACAGGTGTGAGCCACCACGCCCGGCCATGAGGAAAGCTTTAAAGCACTGAAAGCTTGTTTTACTTACAGGCAGCTTTACTTATAATGTAAATCAGAATACGGTTAATATACATAAGTTTTGTTTTTTTTTTTGTTTTTTTTTTTTTTTGAGACAGAGTCTCACTTTGTTGCCAGGGCTAGAGTGAGTGCCGTGGCAATCAGCTTGGCTCACAGCAACCTCAATCTCCGGGCTCAGCGATCCTACTGCCTCAGCCTCCCGAGTAGCTGGGACACAGGCATGCGCCACCATGCCCGGCTAATTTTTGTATATATACTTTTTAGTTGGTCAATTAATTTATTTCTATTTTTGGTAGAGACGGGGTCTCGCGTCAGGCTGTTTCGAACTCCTGACCTTGAGCAATCCGCCCGCCTCGGCCGGTCAGCACAAGTGCTAGGATTACAGGCGTGAGCCACGACGCCCGGCCATTACATAAATGTTTTCATTACATTATTTTTAAATGTTCACAATTTTATTTTGATAAATGAAAAATTAGAAAAGTTGTATCACGGCTATCAGCTAAAGTCACTGTGCGGGTTCATCTGTGGCTGTTGACTATAGTCAACGCCGGTACTGAAGTGGTTAAAATGATAGATTCTGGGACAGGGCTCAAGAACCTGCATTTAAATGTGCTCCCTGGTGATCCTTACACATGCTGAGCTAGTGTAGCAGTTAAGCACTGACTTAACTCTGACAGGGTTGTTTGAAGAACTTTACATAAATGAATTCATTGCACCTTTACAACTCTTGGGAGGCTGGCACTAGTACCCCCATTTTACGACTGAGCAAACTAGCCAAGAAGTTACATAGCCAGCCAGTGAAGGAGGAACCAGGTTCCAACTCAAGGGGCTGGTTTCACACTCCATGCTTGTGGCCACTAGGCTTTACTGCCTTCGTATAAGTAGTTTTCCAGTGACATGAGAAATGAGTTTGGAGGGTCAATGAAGTTGATTCAGAGTGGTGCAAGCTGAGAAGGCGGCTTTGGACGTTAGGACTTAATTTGGTGGAGCTGAATGAGAAAGAGTACGGTGAGATTAAAAGAACTGCCTCTGGGGTAAGGGTGGGTTGAGGATCTAATCCTGTATCAGCTTGGGGTGTGAAAGTGACAACTCATTCAGAACCTTCCATGCTTTCAATGAACCTTTTAGAAAAAACCACATAGCAAATGCATTATTTAAAATGCATTACCTTTTTTCCATTATCTATTCCTTGTCAAGAGGCAAACCCTATTTCAGCCTGTGGGACTTGGAATTCCTAACAGGCCAAAAAATGATTATCCTAGCTTTAGTAGTAGTTGGTAGAAAGGAAATAGTTTAACTGTTCTCCCTACCTCACAAGCCTGGATAAATAACACAACGTTAAAAAGTTACTTGTTTTGGGGAAACACTTGTTACTCTTAATTCTGGGCATACTGTATACCAGGGAACTAGTTTCCCAAGAGGCATATAATGGTTTACAAAAAGCTCATGGGATATTAAATGAGCGCCAAACTGGGAATTCCAGTTTACTAGGGCAACTGTTCAAGCCATTTAAGGTAGAAAGCAGAACAGAAATGAGGTTCTTTTGTTTTTCTTGGAATTTGTTATATTTTTCTAAAGTGTGAAATTAACCCCTGAAGGGACCCAATCCATTTCATCACTATCTTACATATCCTCTCCCAATTCATAAAATTTGCTACAAACTGCTTTTGCAGAACAAGTTGAATAATTTTCCAAAGAGCCAGCTGTTGATAAAGGAGAGCTTTTTTGCATTCTCTTTTAATGTAAAGGGCAAGAGTTAGCTGGGATGTTTTACTTACACTCTAAGTTTGATGCTGAAGTTAATGGAGTTAAAAACACAAACAAAAATGTCTCCTAGTAACTAAAGCATGCCACCCCCAAAACATAATATTTTAAGTGACTTAATTTCCCTGTAAACTGTCCCTGTACCCATTCACCTGTGCTTGCTCTTGCTGTAGTTTTTGCCCTTTCCCTGCCTGTGAAATCCCAGCTCCAATACAACCATGTCCGCTTGTCCATATTCTTTCTCCCTCACCAGCTACTAGTAAATTCCTCCTCACAGCACTCACGTGCTTTGCTCTACCTTATTACAGGTTCCTTGAGGAAGGAACTGACCCAGCTTTCACAGGGGCCTCCGTATGCTTCTAGAAGGCAAGCAATATACTCCCCCCCACCCAAATCAAAGCATATTAAAGAATCACTCAAATACAGCTTAACTTTAACATTTTATTTTGTGTAAAAAAGGGCAAATTTAGTGAATTATTTTCATCTTGTACACAAAGTTATAATTTTAATGCTTTTCACATCCATGCTGAAAATTTGCGATTTGGTAAAAATGAAAGGAACATAAATTTCTCCGAAGGAATTTTTCACGCCATTATATATACACTTCATGAGAAAGTTTCAAACACTTTCTCAATGATCACGAGTTACCAAGAAAATAAAAGATTAAATTTGTACAGATATTGATCTATATATCAAATACATACAGAAATGATGTAAAAACCTTATGCAGTTTACTTTGACCTCTGTCCTC